TCATCAGTCGGAATCATCACTGGCTTTCGTATGATCACAAACAAACTCTATTCGAGATAGGTAGTCATAGTGTCTTGCTAGAGACCACCTATGACTTGTATATCCGAAATAGAGATTTCGGGTTATACTGCTATGTCGAATGAGCCTACAGGGTCACACATGCAGGAAAGGACAAATGCACGAGAGAAAACGACGGAAAACCGAGTCGGATGGGTCGAGACCCGACAGTCCGGATGTGTGGTCCGTCCGTTCTGGGTAGCAGAACGGACGGTCCACGACAACACGCAGACCGTCCGTTCTATGATGATAGAACGGACGGTCCGCACTAAAAGTAGACTGTCCGTTCTGCCTTACTAGAACGGACGGTCCACGTGCAATTCCGGACCGTCTGTTCCAGGTTCCGGTTTTCCGAAAATTAAACCGAAATTAGGGTTAAATCACTTTATAAGAAAGAGATTAAAACCCTAATTCGTAAAAGACTTTTTGGGGGCCGACTTTCAGAGGTTTGAGAGAGCTTTTGGATGAGATCCAAAGAGTTCGAAAACCGATGAGTCTCGTTTTCTCGAAGCACAAAATCGAATAGAGATTCGAGTCCTAGCAGACAAGTTCCAAGCGTTGGAATCCATCCCGAAGTGTGGATACGTGTAGAGGGCGAGGTAATTTCCTGCCTTTCATGATCAGACGTGTTCTTCGATTGATACAGGCCCCGGATCGATTGAGGTAAGCGTTCTAACCTTTCTACGATTCATTAGAAGCATGGTTCTAGGGTTTATTAAATTTTTGTTTTATATCCGCTACGCAAACCCTAGAATCGATCTCTTAGGAATAAGATTCGCTCTAGAGATCCCAGGAAACCCAACAGTGGTATCAGAGCCTGGTGCTCTGTTTTGATTTCGTAGAACCCGATCACGCACGTTTTAGGATTTGAATTGTTTGAATCCAAGTTTGCTTTGATTTCTATGCATGTTTGATGATTGAATCTAGTGTAGATTGCATGTTTCATGTTGCATAGAGTGCAGGAGTTCGAATTTTGGGTTCACATGAGAATTCAGATCAGTTTCGGATCTGATCGGGGCCGAGAACACGGTAGAACGTGATCTGATCACGTTCATGAACCCTAGACCGTCCGTTTTGGGTAAGCCAGACCGGACGGTCCGGGGTGGCGGACTGGAGCTACGGAACGGGAGGTTGAACCTCGAATTGCAAGTCTGGACCGGACGTA